GTTCGCTATCTGTCATTCCGAGGTACGTGAAGAGATGCCGTGTGAACACACCGACGGATCGTCCTCTAGTACCGGTTGATGCAGGATTAAACTTTCACAAGCAAACTAAACTCTTGCTCTCTCGAAGCACACGGATCATTCAGTTTGACATGAAAAGCAGATAATCCTGAGATCGTTATAAATTACCGTATCAGTAAGAATACTGATTTTCCATCTTGTTCAGCGCTGCTGTTCATCTTTGAGGCCCCAACCATTGGGTGCCTCAACTTTATACAAAAACCCTCGCATACTGTTTACATGGAGCTACCCCGATGACATAGCGCAGGATTTTCGGCGTGTAGTTGGAGGATTATCGCTTGGCATTGTACGCTTACAATATGAATATTTCACCTGGCAATGAATGATAGAGTTGCTTTTCGATACTGGCCATATCGGGAGAATTATCATTTTGCTATTTGACAGAAATCTTATTCTCCTTCTTCGCTTGAACGATTGTGCTCGGCTCTCCTTATCGCCACAAGTACAATTTCATACACTATTTCCTTGGAGTTGCCCCGATAATACTATGCAGGATCTTCAGTCCGAAATCGGAGGATCAAAACTTGCCCTTTACATCTTTTGCGTTGAAACTTTCACTTGGATATGGATGGCCGACTATCCTGTCATACCTGGAAGATCACTAATCCCTGTCTGTGACAGAATTTCATCCTTCGTTGTGCTCCAAGTAACAGAAAGCACATGAGCTTTTGGCGCTTCGTGGCTACCATGTAGATAAGATTTAGTTCTACTATTCTAATTCTACAAAATGTCACGATTTAGCAGAGCAAATATTATGGCGAATCTGTTCCCTCGCATGTTGCACTGTAATTGATGCAAAAATCCGGTCGCTGAACTTGTTGCTACGAGGCCCAGTTGATTGCGAGCACTTCGGTGCTGTTTCTGAAGCACAACATTAACCATACAATCCTGCTCCTCCAATCCCACTTACCTCTCGCACATGTCTTCTGGCTATTCTAAACAGGATAGAATGGACATATACTTGAGCTAAGTAGGCTGCAACGAACCCATGCGATCTGGGCACCCACATACTATCACTATTGTTGGCAGTATATGATCTGACTAGCGGATAAACGTTTACGCGATATTGTATGCCCAACGAGAATGCTGTAAATGACTGATCATGCCTGCATGGGCGTGCTTCCAGCTCATCGAGAATAAACTAATTATTCATTTGCTTACTCAGCGATAGGTAACGCTGCAATGCGAACTGGCATCATGTTTCGCAGATTGCGAACAGTGGGCGAGTAAGGGCCTTCTAAGTAGAGCGCCTCCACAAAACAGGAACAACGAGTGTTAGGTGGGCACGCATGAGAGTGCGGTTATAGTGAAGACAAGTGCTCCAAGTCGACCGACAAGCTAACACCGATGTGTGCTAGTTAAAAGTGACGGCCAGGTGATCTAGTAGAAGGCAGGGTAGCGTGTCGTGCTGAAACCAACATATTCAACGCCACTGAACAAAAAGCTCTGACGAACCTCATGAAAGACAAATACATAGTTATACTGCCGACCGACAAAGGAGGCCTAAACATTCTAATGGACAAAACTGAGTAAACGGTGAAATCACAACACGTACTCAGCGATACCAACACATACCAGCCGATAAACGAAGACCCGACAAAATGCTTAGAAGGCAACATGAGACGCACTCAGCAAAAACTGGAACAAATGAGGCAAATAACAAAATTGAAAAACAAAATGATGAGACCACAAGATTCTGTAGTAACGCGACACTATGGTTTGCCTAAAGCACACAAAGCAGAGTATCTCTTCGCTCCATCGTGTCGCTACCTTGGGCACAAAATTATAAACTAACAAAAGAACTCTGGAAACGGATAAAACATCTAGTCACCAATCAGAACACTAACTCAATTCGTCATTACAGTTCGTTTCGAAACTAAAAACCGTAACCATATAACGGGACGAAATAATGATCTCTTTTGATGTGACTGCGTTTTTCATATCAACCGACATCAATTTAGTGAAACAAACAATAACCAGCCTACTGGAGGAACACACATCGTCCGACACAAGCAGTAAACTCGACGTCAGACAGGTGACAGAGTGACTAGAATTCTGTCTAATATCACATTTCATTTTCAATTGCAAATAATAAGCGCATCAACAGGATCGCCGAGTTCCGGATTGGTAGCCGAGGTAGTGATTAAGACGCTGGAACCAAGAGCACTCCCAACTGTAAGACAAAACTTTAGGTACGAAACGTAGATGACACCTTCGTCACCCTCAAGTGTTCCCATTTGAAGGAGACGCACGAGCTAATCAGCAGTGTATTCGATGGCACCAGATTGACATAAGAGGAGGAGAACAACGGGCAGTTACCATTCTTAGACGATCTCATAAGAAGGACTGATGCCGGACGACTGGAAAGGATAGCTTATCGAAAAGCAACGTATATGAACAAGGTCTGCAACTACGGCAGCAATCATCCGGCAGTCCGCAAACGCTGAAAATACCCCTAGCCAGGTGCATAAAGCGTAAGTTGACTTGACTTGAACCGCGTGCGAACTGTTTTAAAACGAGCACAAGCAAACTGTAGCCTACCGCAGTTGAGGTAGGTGGAGGGAGACCATCTCTTCAGTCTGCTCAAGCGCAACTCGTATCAAAAGGATTTATACTACGCCTCTTGGCACCACAAGACACTTCAACAAATGCAACAGTTGTAAAGAAAGCCATGTTGCTTTATGTCAACGGAATATCTGAAAGGACGGCGAGACTTTTATTGCCTTTTATTGTCCAAGTTGCACACCAAGCAACATAAACCATTCGCAGCACACTCTTCAAAGTGAAAGATAAGCTTAGCAAGAGGAAACAACAGATGTGACCAATTTGCTGCCAGGACTGGCAAATACTAAGTGAAATAGACTGGGAGAAAATTTGGCACAAGGCTACAAGAACACGGACTAGCCATTCGCCACCACGTTCCGAACTCCCTGATGTCGTGCATATGAATATATAGAACCACTAACATACTCGAAAGATTTCTATATTACTAATAAGTAGTGGGGATTTTGATACATTCCAGATAATTCATCATGGCCACTCGCAATCAGCAGCTGAGCAATATCATAGTCAACTGTCAATCACGCAGGTTCTCGGCTGTCATCCATCGTGAAGTGTCAATAGCTGCTGGCATCCGAAGTCATAGTGTCAGAACATGGCAAGAGGCTGACGGAAGGCGCACCACTGACGAGACCCCTAAGGTCGAAATACCGGTGCCTGGTGCATTTTCAGACTTGTCAAAGCCTGCTGATTGAGAGTGGACCGTGATGAATTATTTGAGTTCTCGGAAGAACCATCGAAGACAACCACTCAGGGTAATGTCTGATCAATCAGCTCATGGACTTATCGGCTGCATATTCTGACAGAAGGGTCTTATTAGAGGTCCCATATCTCTTGGCTCTAAAGTTTGACTCACAAAGCAGTAAGGGCGCGTACAACTCAACAATGTGACTGCACCACAGGGATCCGAGTGCGGCCGGTCGCATTAAGGCTCAAGAAACTCAGGTGCAGAGGTGAATGATTTTCGAGAATAGTAAATGAGAGATTTGCGACGCTGATCACAAGAAGAAAGGTCCCGGTTGGCATGAATAGTATAACCAGAACCCGTCTAGCTTGCAGTGGATGCAGTAAAGAGGTTGTGCTTTCGCGTTGTCAGAAACAACCAGTATTGCCATCGCTCTGCGCCGACTAAACTGAACCTACGACTTTCAAACCGATGCCACTCATGGTTGCATTTGCATTGGGACCATCACCACCCTCTATCAAACTTCCTGGAAGAGGAGGAGAAAAGTGAGCATATGTGAGCCTATATGCCATACCAAATACGGGTGCCTCCGCAAACAACCGGAAGTTGCTGACCGGAACAAGGAATGGATCTGTAAACAACAGTCCTCAAAAACAGACAAATGAATGCCAGTAGTTTTTAGTTGATGTGAAACCATTTCAAGTGTAAAGTTAATTAAAAGCTATATAGAAACGGTTTAAAGTTTATACCGAGAGCGTGCTTTAGCCTAATGCTATCGTTATCGACGTGCATGTTTTCGCTCCTGTATCTGTCGACGACGCAGCTATTATTCTTGAAGCCTGCGCGATGCAGAGGCGCATTTAACTGTACACCTGTTCATCGTTTTGCTAATAGGATAGGTTGACGGTTATCACGCATAAGATAAAAACTTAGGTCACCAGTTAACTTGCAAGTGGATTTAAATGCACAATTTTGTGCCACCGGTCTATTTCCAACTCTCAAGCTTGTTGGATTACGCAGACCATCGGATTAGATCAATGTAAATTGTGTGGGGGGATGGAATACCAACAGAACATCCAAACCTGGGTGAGAAAAGGCTTAGAGCTCCCTACTAACCTTTTGGGCCAAAAGTCTAGCCATATGTCAGCGTGAAAGTAATGAAATCACATACAAAAAATGGAGCATTGTCACACAAATGGTACCAACTCCGCTCCGAATGGCAACCCCGAGGTTCAGCAGACTGTGGTCAATGATCATTGATACCATTGTAGTAGTTGTAGCTTCCAAGGTACCCGGGGAACTAACAAAAAAGGGATCAGCAGTACGCCGGTACGCATTGCCGACGCTTCGCTGCCGCCGAACCACCAACAGTCGCACATGGGTTAAGGATTCTGAGAGGGTCGCCCGGTCCCTACGCAGGCTCGAACCCGCGCCCTCGGATTACAAGTCAAACCTGGGGTCCTTAAGGCTACGGGCCGGTAGGGAACCAACACGCATGATGTAATGTGGAAGAAGGATATGCAAATTGCTGTGTATGGGAGTCCGAAGATTGATGGCCACGTCACCCCATGTACAACCCCGCTGATCTGCAAAGGAACCTAACGGAATCAACGGGCGAGTGCGGAGGCCAAAGATAAGGCTCACTGTAATCCGACCACATAGTAGTGGGGAGTGGATACTAGCGAAATAACAGGAGAATGGTTCCACTCACAGCCAATAAATTATCGCGGACGAATTTGGTTAACATGTGATTCTTCAGCAGAAGCATGATATTGTTGAAATCAGTGACAGAAATTGTCCCGGTGTGAGTCTGATCGAAGCGTTTGAAGGCCTGGACAGCGTGTTCGTCATTTAGATCCTGAAGTAGAATAAAAAAGTGACATTCAATGGAATGGAAAAAGCGAAGGCCAAGGGTATCATCAAAACACGTATCAGCAGAAGCGATGTGTTAAGTCTGTAAGTTACGCAACTATACGTATCTAATACACTCGGTTTCCAGAATTCAGACTTTCTGCATCCGACACACATGAGTCAGCAAAACAAAAGCGGGCTGCGAGACAACACGTACTCAAGGGTGGGAGTGTTTTATACATCTGATCAAATGCGATCCAAGCCATACGCATACCTACACAAAAGATGCATACCGATGTCAAACGGGGTGTGATTTGTACAAGAAAGGATGGGGTTCACCGGTGACAAATAAGAACTCATCTACTTTCAATCGAGTTTGCAGTTACTAGTTAATCAGTAGCAGTAAACAAGTGTTTGGTGCTGATGGTTCGTTGCTATGATGATCTCACAAACGAGGACAACAGGAGAGAGGAAGAGTGACAGAGTGTAAAGCTTAGAGGACAGACAACATTGAGTTACAAGGCACTCATAGTTTACCAAAGTAACACAGTCACAGACACGTGGCCATCATATGCGAGTAAGTCAGCACTGCTGGAACAGCAACCTTGAGGTAGTCAATGCCCAGTGATGAATTGAACCAAATTACTACACAAACAGTATAGCACAAACTCTAAACAAACAATCAGATTAGACAATGACAACCAGTGTATCCCCGGTGTCTGCTACGAGCACCGTAACTGTAATGTTTTGAGCCAAACACACAGTGGAGTCCAGGCCAGAAAGACGAGGGGAACTGATGGTACTCAAAGCATAGCCACTGATGTTATTGCTCGATACCAAGTCAACAGGCTAGTGGTCTATCAGTCTGGGAGCTGAATGACTGATAAGAAAGTGTTTTTGTCGTCTCTGGAATACAGATATATTTAACTGATCTTCGGGAGGTGACCAGTTGTTGGCTGAACAAAATTTTCTTCTAACTACGAAGCTCACAAAGTGTTTGTTTAGATGGACGATTTTAAGGGTTTCGTACACAAGGGTTCAATCTCTGTCTCCGGTTATGATTTCTAAATTTTAGATACCAGAGAACAGCAGAAACACCTACTAGGCTATGTACTGAGGATGCCACCTCGCATGGTGGTGAAACGTTTGCGAGAAAACCGCCAAGCTCGGAGAACAAATGAACAATTGATGTACAACCATATGCAAACATATCTTTCATGTTAGCAGCAGTTAACTCAGAAAAAACCTCCGTTCTTACCAGTTGTATCTGATGTAAATGTGCGCTTTATTGCTTAAACATCGAGATATTTAGCCATCTTAGGCAGGAATCTCATCAACTAACATAAAAGTATATCTTATAAGAAGTTACGGGGCGGTTTTCGCGTATATCTATCATATTGCCTTTTAATTTAGGTATTTGAATTTCCATACGGCAGATCGCTGGAACCCTACCAGTCAATAAATGCTCGCATCGAACATGGCACCATCCTAAATCAGTTAAGAAAAACAAAGCCCTCCGTAGTAATCGACAAGTGAATATAATGAGAATGTGCAGTAGCAAGGCATGTTACAGAGCTTCAAACATTGATCTAGAGAGACGAACTCGTCATCGTCGCCTGGAACTCTCATGCGAACTCATCGCGATGGATAAACTAGTGTTGACCCGTACAAGCATTATTCCGAAGGCAACCTGATGCTTGGGATTTGCAGAATGAAATGACCAATTTTTACTTCTACAGAGCATAACGATGCTACTTTCTGTAGGCATTTGTACACGTGTCCTCCCTAACTTTAAAGTTGCGAAGCGAATGCCGTAAGATGGGACCACTCCGATGCTGGGTGTTCGGCCTCACGATTGTCAAGCAATAAGAAGATATTGTTCCCATAATCCAGATAGACAATTCTTTCAATGAGCGGGAACACAATCCTCGGACTGTGAGACCCCGAAAGGAGACATGCCATAATGGTGTGCATGATAAGATAAAAAGTCAATGGAGACATGGACAAGGTTAACGAACGCGGTTTGTTGACGGGAACATGTCCAGCAATTTACTGTAAAACTGGACGTGGCCTGCGGTATTCGAGTACAAAGCAAGTAAAATAGCCTTATATTTCATGGAAACAACCTTCCGATCAGATGGGTTGAAGGCGGTGGAGAGATCGACTGCCTGGAACGCGCCCTTGGAAGACTGTAAGATAGTTATGGTCTTTCGGTGAAATGGGGGATGTCGCTCTATCGTCTGCAATTAATGGTCTACAAACTCACAAGTAACAGCCCGATCACCTTGCACATGCTTCATGTACAAGCACCAAAGAAGATGCGTTGAGGGTCAAGAGAGATATCAGGAATTCGCTAATGTTACAATCGAGAGCTGTGAGTTGCGCCGTACCATTCAATTGGCTTAATAGAATGTGGTGATCGAGACAAAGAAAGACGGCTGTCTAGGCATAGACTAAGTTAAGCACAGGTATTGTGAAGACCCCAAACGATTGTTGGTAGTGGAGCTTATAAAAGTGGTGCTGAAAAATGGAATGCGTCAGGGGATGAGCAGAGGAAACTAAGATCGAAGGTGTTAAGCAGATTGTGAATGTGGTCAGATTGGAGAGCGTATAGTAGATCCAATATGCCGGGTGGAACAGCACCTAGAGTATAACTGAAAGGCGCTTTAGTATAATACTTCGAGTGGATGCTCCGACAGAACAGCGACCTAGCCATGGTGGTTTATCTGTTTGTCATTCAGATACATTCGATAAGACTAGTTGGTTTGTTTTCGGAAACTATTTCAAAGCAGCCGACTAGTATATTAAGCACGCCGTGAGTGGAAGATGTAGAAGAAGCTGATCGCATTGAATAGTGCCTATTAAATTTTGTCAGCAAACTTCTGATCATGTATGCTAACCATTCAACAGATATGGCCAGAAGGTAGTTTTCAGAGCAAATGGTGTAAAAGTCAAACCGTTCTAACTCCTTGCCAGATTTCAAGGAAGGCAAAGTAATCATCAAAACTGGAAAACGGTGCACTATCGGAAATGAAGAAGGGTTCCAACATTGTATAAGATGGTAAGCCCAGAAACACAATAACGACAAGATAGAGAACGCAGCCGCCAAGTGAGTATCGAAGAGAATACAAAACACAACAAGGAAGGAGAGCGCGTTGGCGCGGCAACACGTGAGTCTGAACAATACTAAGAATGAAAATGTGTCAGCTGTACGCCGTAACGGCGCTTCGCTGCCGCGCGACTACCAATAGTCGTGCGCGGGCTGAGTATACCGCGAGGACACCCACCCCAACGCGGATTCGTACCGGTGACCTTAGGAATGCAATTCAGGCGTGCAGATCACCCGGCCACCGGCCGAACCTCCGGAAACGTTCGATTTGACGCCAATAATTGATTTGTGCTGTCGTGCTACTGAGTTCAAGGAAATACAATCAAGTTACATTGTCGCCAAATACTTACGTGAATGAGTTGAGTAAAGTCCTCAGAAGAGACCTGTCGCTTTCTGTCCTTGCCAAAATGCAAGCTAACAAAATCACAATCGAAGTCGAATGGAATAGAAACATTGGGTAGGGTAGATTCGAGAACTTCCCGGAAATCATCTAAAACACGGAAACGAAGAGGATATGAAAAAAAATAGAGATTCATCAACTGGGGAGGGGAACGTTGTGCAAGTCGAGTAGGAATGAGCAAAACAATATAGACAACAATTTTTAAACACACGTTCAGAGATTGCTGCAATTTGGAAGAAAAATCGTTTGATTGACAGAAATAGTGATGAAACAGTTTATGTTGGACTGGAAAAGCACTACCACTTGAGCAGAGTCGGAAAACGCAGCTTGGTGATTGCATGATCGAGTGACGGAGTTGACCGTTGCATCCTAAACACGGTCACGTATGAAGTAACGAAGCCGGTGCCACATAAATATCAGTTTGTGCTATTTTCGGATAAATCGCAGAAATCATGACAGTGCCCCATTGAATCCAGAACGCACGAAAGGGATAATGAGACACATTGTTTTGTGTCATAGGAAAGTGGTTTGCACACAAGGAAATTAGGAGTTTAAGGTGAATTATGAGAGATTCGTAGCCAGTGATTGAACTGTGCTGTTTTGGTTGAAAACTATGGGCACTTTTACCTAACACGGAGTTCAAATTTGCACAGTGACGTAACTAAAAGAGAAAGTCAGTTATATTGACCATTCAGATCATATGTGGGTGTTATGTGATGCTCGATTGCAAAGTAGCAGTTCATGACCAGTGTGGTCTTCGTTTGGATTCTTCAGGTGGAAAAAGATGAATGTGGAATTTGAGCGCAGTACGTAGAGAGTGACGGTGGGTTTCATTATCACCGCTGTCCATTGCTGCGATGGAGAGAAGCCACAGAGAACCCGTCACTCAGAGCTGGATTCACGCACCACATATGTAAATGTAAACCAGAAGAAATACTACAGGGAAGCATGCGAAGGAATTGGAGCTGGCCCACACTTCTTCAAGCGCGTATGTTTGGTGTGAGATTAGTGCCACTGTGTGCGAGACGCACTGGGCTACGAAAACTGCATGTCCTAATTCCAAGGCGACGACTGATGGTCGAGTGGAAGCAGTAAGCTAAGTGCTCTGCAAACGCACAATTCAAGCGAAGTTAAACGCGGCACACCGCTGGGTAGGATGAGACAGGAGCTAAACACTGGTCAGGAACAAAATTTTCAGACCTAAGTAATGACACTATCATGACGGCAGTCAGATTAATGTGCTAATGATAAAGGCAATACAAGTGAGTCTCTAATGACCGCTACATGCAGTGGTTTCGAGAGTATTGCTGGGTGAACATATCAACAATAAGGAGTTCAAAGTCGGATGAGGTCAGAAGGTTCGGAAGAGTACGTGATAACAGTAAACTACTCCAAGGGATAAAACAACACTCGTATTGGCCTAACCGTGGAATGCATTAGAAACGTGACTGAAGAGTAAACAAAGCAAATGTACAGACTGCAAACCTGCATGAAGTGATATTTGCACTAAAAACTTAAATAGATCGTCCAAAGACTTAAGAGAAAGCACGCACAATAAACCACGCACTGGCCACCCCGCTGCTGAATGATGAACGATGCCTGGCCAAAATCTCTACACGCGTTCATTGAAGGCACCGCTAGTTACCCCGGCTCGATGTGATGTAAGTGACAAAGTGGACTTACACGAAGTCCACGTTAAACCAATGGGAAAAAGTATACACGGTACACTGAAGTAATGAGCGAATGTCTAGGTTCAGTGACATGTGGCTACATACCAACAGAAAGTGTCTACAATACTCGAGGGAATACAGTCTAATCCTTGCAAGTTTGTTATGCGACAGCAATTCAAAACCACGACACCGGAAGAAGTTATTCACACCTCGAATGGCCCAAGTGAACCAATCATCACTCGCGCTAATGAACCTGGCACCATTGCCGCCAGTCCATGTGCACCGACTGCTGACTGCTATAGGAGAATGGAACGACTTAACATTTCTTCATCAGAATGAGGACGCAAATTATGAGAACGAGTTCACAAGATACGACCAAATGCCGTAGCGTCGGTGGAAAATTAGACAACAAGTAAGCGGTAGAGAAAAACAAGCTAACAAAATGTTGATAAAACTGGAACAAGTCGGGAAATCTCAAATGATGTGAATAACCCTATTGTAATCAGCCGAAACAGTGATCTCAGGTATCAATATTAGCACAAGAACGTTCAAGCGCGCCAGACACAATCCCAATGACCTAAGGCTATTGCAAAGTAAACCGTGGATCAAACAAATTGACCATGGTATTGAATATTCATAACCGGTACTCAACAACATGACGAGAAATCACCGACCGTTCACCAGTCATTTAAACTGATGTTTCCCTACCCTAGAATCAAGATGGCATGAGAATGAACAAGAAAATAGCGACCGGTAAGATAAATGATCTAAACACACATTTAGCTGAGTACACGTTGTCTAAAACATCCCGTCACAAACAACTGGCTATCATGCAAGATGGCGGCATCAATGAGCAGCCTCCTAGCGGCTTTCAATGCTCCGCGACATAATCAGCCATTACCTCACAGCTAACTCAGCATCAGACACGCTGCAAGAAGATGGGTAAGAAGCCAATAGCGAATGCGTCTCTGGTGCCGGCTGACATGCATCTCCTGTAAAGACGTGGGCTAAGTAGTAGGCGGGTCACGTAGACTCGCGCTATTATGTCAACGATCCCCACCTCGAACCTTGCAGTGTCTAACATCCGGCAACCAAAACAAAGCCCTCCGCAGAATAACGGTGACTGGGCATGCCCAACACATGCATAAGGCAATACAACTTGTTTAGCATTATTTGTCAATCTAATGAACTAACCTGACCACTTCCGCCTAGTAATCGCCTACGCACATCACTGTTGCGAATACGCCCGTTGTCATCCGATACCAGCAATGCGCTGTAGACAACAATGATGCAAGACTAGGAGAAGCCTCAGACTGAGGCGGCCGTTTTCCTAGTTGTAGTATTTTCCGCTGATCGTAAGTATAACGTGCTGCTGTTGCTGACTTCCCAGGTCAGAGGATAAAGGTCTCCGGCAAAAACGATATTGAGCACCCGGCAAGCAGTATATACAGGTAAATAAAGGGGTCAAACAGAATGACCTAGCTGGAAGTTCCTCGGTTTTAGCAAATACTAGGTGCATGATAATGTAATTGTTGCTTGCCGAAATAATGCGCTCATTGATAGGTTTCAATAAGGATCATCTTCATTGGCAACCTCCAAGCTGAAAGGTCCGCATTGGTTCACTCTCATTGGTTGCCAGATAGGTTTCAGGTGTCAGGGATCAAACTGCTCCGGGTTGCTAGCGAGAGGGGTCGGCTTCAAGGCTGCTACGGGTAGGCTCCCTGAACACTCCTATACAGAGGGCTCCTACTGTGGCTCTCTGTCAGACAGAGAAATCCGTTCCCGGCACAACATATTTCTCAGGTTAAATAGTGTCTTTTTAACACCCGCAATACGAGAAGTAACAGCCACAATCCCATCGATGTTCAGACAAACATATTTAGCTAAGTTGAATAACTATCTCAAGTAACCTAGAAACAATAGGCAAGGATCCAAAAACTATTTGGTGGCCCTGCAACACTGTGCAATTTGAAGATCAAATGATCGACCTAATGCAAATAGTTTATTCAAGGTTGATTGGATCGTCTCGAAATTGCCAAACAGCAAAAAGATATCGTCCGGATAGTCAGGATTAACGAGCTTTCCACTAAATAAATAAAGTTTTATTCCCGGCTAAGAGAGGCACGCCTGCACAGGCATGATCATGATATGACTTCAACACGTGAGTAAGGAATGTGCAATAGGAGTGTCATATATGTTGATACATATACGTATTTGTGTGCGTGTGCGTGTGTGTGTGTGTGTGTAGACGTGTGTAGCTGCGTTGCTTGGCTTTGTAAAGTTTTGCTGCTTTTGCTTGTGTCTGAACGTATCGCCAATGCTAAAGGGATGTTTAACGTCCGTGGAGTTGCAATGATTGTACCGATAAGCATTACGCTGCTGGTATACAATGCTTCGCCAGGATGAAGCAAGGGCCAGTGAGTTTATTTAGTGGCGAGTCACAACCGCCACGTCACAGTGTTGTTAAACGGAGATTTGTGGCTTCTAATAGGGAGAACGCTTGCCAAGCGAAAACCCACCCCGTTCTAGAACACTGCCGCCGAACTATTTGCTAGAACGGGGTAAACCCGAACCACCCAGTTGGCACCACGAGGAGGTTGTTCGGTTAGCAACTAAACGTTTGCATCGAAACGTTTCGCTAGGAGACACCACATAATGGATTTTACGATACACGACACCCCTGGTGAACGTCACTTGCTGTCCGAAAGACATCTGACAGTACCCAACAAACCCTCATACGAGTACACGCATATTTAATGGTAAGAACCGAACAACTATGTCGAAAATGACTGAGTGATAGACTGAGCAAGACGTACTCTTGAAACTGAGAAACGGCTATCGCTGGTATGCGGTAAGTGTGACGCTGTTCTGGCACCTGCCGCAAAGTGAACACATAGTCCACGCAGTCCCGTCCCAAATAAAACCGGTCTACTCTTCATTCATTCGGTAATTCAGACAACCAAGAATTGAGGATAGTAATTTTATGACCACCGGTGTCAGGTTGATAACCCTGATTACAACAAGCGGTGCGATCGTCCTTCTTATATAATGCCATTATTATCCACTGACCACCGCTACTGCCTCCTACACTTTCCAGGCCATTTTGTTCAACCCGGTTTCCTTGTCAACATGCAGGTTCCGGTTAGCATGCGCTTATAAGCGCACATGAAAAAGTTGTTCGCGATGTAAGTACGGGTATTCAACACAAATGTAAACCTCTCGGATATCCAATGACTGGTGCGATGATCACTGGTAGTCCACCGAAGCCCGATATCTGAGGATTACTTAGATGAAAGCCTCGTATGCATGGCATCCTGGTAGTGTTGCTTGACTGAGAACTGATAACTCCTCAGTTGTGATGCATAGACGAGCATCTTCTGGATGCATCTGTTCGTTATTGTTAATCCGATGCATACTGCTTCAGCTGTAAAAAGCGGCCGTACTCCTGGGTTAGTTGTCATGGCATTCCATGTAGGACTGCGAAAGCATTGCGCTGGTCAATTTGATGCGCAGTGCAAATAAGATGGGTAGTTATCGCACTTCCATCAGCTCTGCCCTGATGTTGATGAGCGGATTCGGCAAGTACTCATTGGTTCGCTTTGCTAAGTACTGACAAATGTACGCAGTCCATAGGAACAGTTGAACCGATAGATAACCATGAGAAAAAGGCATCAGCCATCCGCCGGTACGCAGCATAGACGCTGCGCTGCCGCGTAAACACTAACGGCCGCACGTAGGCTAAGGATACTGGGAGGGTCGCCGGTCCCTAGGTAGGCTCGAACCCGCGCACTGGGATTAAAAGGCAGGCAGGCGGTAGATAACCAGATTGGAGTCGAACGGGCACTTTGAAGCTAGGAACAGTTGACGACTTGCTCGTAAAAGCTAAAATTGAGCTCCATTAAAGTCTTTCTGTGGGCTTGTATCGTTTGTCGTGTACATAACTTAATCGTCATACCACCCTTTGTGTGGCCAAGTCACCAGGGTGGTCAAGTTGGTGGATCTTTAAGGAAAACAGTCATCGGCAGAGGTAGTGTTATTCACCGTTGAAGAATCAGATAACAGGAGTGATTAATGAGACAAGCGAAAGGTTAGTAAATTGGTTGCGAATTTGTGAGATTGGTGATGGTAGGACAGTGGATCATCATGATAGCGAGAGAATATAATTAAATATACGGTCGAACCAGTCTAAGGCGAACACTCAAAGGACCTCCACTTTAGCTTCCTTCGCCAACAATGATCTCAAGCCAATGCATAATGTGAGTTTTGCATTATTTTTCACTTTTTTAGCTAGTTTTCGTTTGTTCTCCGAGCTGAGGAATTGTGCTGCAGACGTTTCGTCATCAGTCGAGGTGACATCCTCAGTGTCTCACTGCTTAGCGTACAGCTCGTTGAGCGTGTCGTCGGCTCTTGATCGATGGGCTGCACGCTAAGCAGTGAGGCACTGAGGATGTCACCTCGATTGATGATGAAACGTCTGCAGCACAATTCCGCAGCTCGGAGAAGAAACGAAAACCAGAACAGTCAACCCGAGCTACAAATATTACGAGTTATCCTTGTTATCTTGTGTAGTCTGTAATGTTTAATCTCTCATCTTTGTTGTATTGAGCCAGGTGTGTCTTACCCAAGACTGTGTATTGATGATGATGTTGATGGCAGAACTTCCACTCCGGAAGAATGTAAAAGAACAGAGTCATTCATAGTCATTTCGAACTATGTTGAAGAGGAAAGGAGATCCATAACAACCCCGGTGAACCCTACTTGTCATTCGGAACTCAGGAGACAGCTTTCAGAAGACTCTTACCTGGCCTCGGTAGTCACGGTGGAGATAATTCAGAGTGGATAGAAATTTAGCTGGAACCTCTATTATGGATAGGCAGTGGCACAAGCTTGCTTGATCAACAGATTCGAAGACAGCAATCAAGTCAAGGGAAACCACCATAGCCGGCAGTGTGTGACATTACTGTAACACATGTAGAAAAGTAAATGGGGTCAATGCAACCACGACCAATACGGAAGCCATGCTGGCTTCCAATGATTCTGCTCCCACAAGGACTAGTAAGTCATCGAAGAATGATAACCTGGAAAAGTTTGGAGGTTATTGTTTTGACGATTTTCGCACACAGAAAGCTGACCCTCCTTGAAAAGGTGCACGACAGTTAGCAGTCGCCAGACTGAAGGCCTCTTCAGTGTCTCAGAGTTGAATGGAGCAGTAAGTCCAGTCAGCAAAGAGTCACCTTCATCTTACAGCAGAAGGACCAAGGTCATCGGTTTCAGGAGTCTTGTTTTGTTTCAATACGGCAAGCTCATGTCGAATAGATTCTAAAATGGGGAGTGTGAGATCAACTTCCCATGTGGGCTCGGGTGAATCAGCAAGAGACAGTGTCGCTGAACTGCTCGATAAAATGTTCCGCCTAACGGGCAGGTGGACGCGGACACTCAGTCAGATGTCTTTCGAGTAATTCATCTTGGCTAATATTGGACGCAAGATATGGATCCGATCAGGAAGTAATCACAATGGTAAACCAAGTAAGAAGACGAAATCAATGACGCTGTGTCCAATTTGCCGAGAATTGAGTAAATACAGTATGCCAATGCTGAAGGAACCGCAACAAAAATAATAAGTGAAAACTCGTCAAGTCACCGGGAGGAGGCGAAGGAGCGTGGGTGAGGGTATAAAAAGCGCAATGGTGTTTTTAGTGGATCCAGTGAGAAACTCACCGAACGAAATGTATCCATCTCCATCACGATCGAATAGTTCGAAAGCCAGCGAGTATAAAGCGTCCGCGGTGCACAAAAGATTTTCGAACGCGAGGAACTCATCGAAGGAAATTAGCCTAACATGCAGAAGGATTTGACATGAGTAAGGCACGGTGAGAAAAATGAAGTAAATTAGACCAACGGTAGCATAAGTGTAATGTTAGATGAATACCAAGCAACACGCGCTAACGGTACAACTCAAAGCAACATTGAAACTTGTAAGCTTGGCATCAGAGAGGCTTACCGAATGAGGATACTCAGTATTAGTACTGCTTCGACTCGCGTGGCTCGTAGACGTAAGCGCGGAGAAGAAAAATGGACAAACGTACAAAGGATTCAACCTTGAGAAAGCCGAGTAAGACGACAGGTAAACAGGAGGAGAATGCGACCACACAGGATAAAAATTTTGTTGGATCAGTTGACAAGGACAGGGGATCTATACCCTAAAAATGCTCAATCGGCATCGAAAGTATGCAAATGCGCTACGGCACTAATATTGCCGCACTCAGTGGACGTCGGCTCGCTGGCCAAGGCAAGTTGCATGAGGACTGTGCTGGGTTCTACTAGGTGGGAAACACCACCACACCACGACGTGAACATAGGGTCGGGTTTGCACCATCCGACCGCCTAAATCGCCAGTTGGCGTCAGAGCCTACTGGCATCAGCCAATGACTGAAGACTCTTCGATTACGAAATGGGAGAGGTAGCTTTGTCACTTTTATTAGCATATGTGGTCCGACCATGTGTTATTCTCATGACACGAAGAGTTATTTTCACTGTGTTGTTCTCTGTGATACGGTACATGCCAAGGAGCGACCGGCTAGTGCTACTAGGTGATTTCAACGCGCGCGTTGGGCGTGATGTTGCGGTGTAGACAGACGTCATCGGGTTGTATGGTTTGGCACAACCAAAGGGAACGGTGATCGACTGCTCTCACTGTGCGCCACTCACGGCTCAACGATCACAAACACAGCTTTCATTGGATACTACCTGGACGAAACCACAGGGTCATCACGCTTATCTCCTCGACTATGTCATCGCTGGCCAGAGTGGCATGCGTGAAATGCGCATAACAAGTGTACTGCGTGGAGCTGGGTGTGGCAAGTCAAAAAGTTGGTGCGGACCGAATATACATATATTGCCTTAACTCTATGTCTTGCTCGCCAGACACGAATCGGCGGAAATTTAACGTGCGTTCCATAAGTACTGCTGAGAAAAGGATGGAAATGGATAATGCGATGGCTACCCGCATAAGCTATGTCGAGTCTATCGCCTCAGTCAGCGGCCTGTGGCAACATATAAGACAACCAGGTTACTGCTGCGGCTGAGAAAACTATCGGGAGCGCAAATTGTAAACAGCTTGATCCGTTTGATAAAAAACAATGCGACAATTGGCGCATTGGCATCAGATAGGAAGGTAGGATTTGCTGCACATGTGGAGTATCTTAGCGACTCAGCGAAGGTGAAACAGTTTCTCGAGTTGCATCAACGAGTAACTTGGGAACTCCGTCGCATCAGGAATGCATGCGGGACGGAGAAGGCGGAGCACAAGGAATGCTACGCCGAACATCGAGAATATAAAGAATTAGTTGACTTCTTGAAGGCGGTGTGTGGAGCCACCTTGCAGCCACTGAGGAGGCTAGTGGATGCTACTTTTGGTACTAGCTGCACGCAGACTGCAGATGTGGCGAAAAAAGTTCGAATGTCTGTTGAAAAAAAGATAGACTACACTACGTTTCACGGGCTGATGCAGCAATAGATGAAGATGTGCCATGCCGACACACCGACACTGCATGAGACGTCGGAGCGGACGGGATCCCGCAGGAAGTGTTGAAAGCCGGAGAACCCGCGTTGATACACGCGCCGCACCATTTGGCGCAACGCGTGTGGTTTGAAGAGGAAGTACCGGCTGAGTGGAAGAATGCCTTTGTGCTACCACTGTACAAGAGCAGAGGGAGCAAGTAATACGTCAGGAATTATCGTAGTATGAACTTGTCGAGTTGTGTGGGGAAGGTGACAGCAAGAATCCTGCTCGACCGCCTCGTCAATCAGATCGTTGAACCAAACGTGGCGGAAAAGCATTGTGGAATCTGTTCTGGCTGCAGTACCGTCGATATGGTGTTCGCGGCTCGTCAGTTGTAGGAGAAATAATGAAAGCGACACCAGCTAGTGAAGCCACTGTTTGTTGACCTAACGAAGGCGCAGTGTGCCGGGGTTTTGAGAAAGTTTGGTTGCCCGAGTAAGTTTGTAAGTCTAATTGGATGTCTGCACAGTGCTATGCGGGCGAGGGTGCAGCTCTATGGACAAATCGCAGAACATTTCCTGTGGTATGAAGCAAGGCTGTGTCTTAGCACTTGTCCTGTTTAATAGCTATCTAAATGTTTTGATATCTCGTGCACTCAATGTTTGTGGTTAAAAAAATAAAAGTCATCAGCAGTACGCCGGCACAATGTACCGACGCTTCGCTGCCACGCAACCACCACCCGTATCACGTGGGCTGAGCATACCGAGAGGACGCCCGCCCCTACGTGGATTCGAACCGGCGACCTAAGGATCCCAAGCCAGGCGTGCAATGCTTTCGGCCACCAGCCGACTTGTAGTTAAGGTGTCTGTGTGGAGCAACGTATTGATGGTGAGTTGCTGCACATCTGTCGTTTCGGAGCGAGAATCAGAGTGTGTAAGAAAACCATCCGTATGTTGCTGTTTGCCGGCGACTGTGCGTTGTTTGCGCACAGCGCGTAAGAGTTGCAGAGCATGATGACGGCTTTCGCTTTGACTACGGCCCAATTCGGTCCCAACATCAATACAAGCAAGACTGTCTGTCTTTTCCAGCCTTCGGGTTGCAACAAATCCACATTAATAATAAACATTTGGGGGCTACATCGAGGTTTTGCTATTTTGAGAACGTGTTTTTGATCAATCTACAGGTGACGAGTAAGTTGCGCATGCGCGTATCGAAGATGGCTACTGTAGATGGAAAGCTGCAAAATCGGGTATGGAGAAATAACCAGCTAATTGTTGGGACGAAGCTGGTGGTATTACAAGTAGATAGTTCTGTCCGTTCCTCTGTACAGCAACGAAACCTGGAACGGGGTTATTTTATTTGGAGCGCTTCATCAACAGTGCCTGCAACAGATCCTACACGTCGATTGGTGTCACCGGAGTGCAGACCCGGAACTGCTGCTCCGAAGTGGTACGTATGCAGTGGGTTGCAAACTTCTGCTGTGGCACTTATGGTGGTCCGAGCATGTCAGCCGTATGGATTCGACAATGATACCCAAGCATTGCAATGTGGACACTTAGTGCAGCGGAGTGGAACATGGGCAAACAGAAGCTAGGTTAGCAGGACATAGTTAAGATGGATGTATCACGAACTAATGTTGGTTTTAAGTTTTATGAAGACACGTCGCAGCTAGACTCAGGCAAACAGCCACTACAAATCCAGGAAAGCGCTAGGCAACGGATCGGCGCAAATAGCGTGCCCACATATAGAATGTAATAGCTCACGTACACGGGAAAGCCTTGATACATCAGGAAAAAACGCAGATTGCGGAAGTGAAAGGCTCCGATGGGATCTGGACCATTGACGTCGAGCGCATTGTGCTGTAGCACACGCGGTCGAGATTGCCTTAGTAAAGCCAGCCTGTTTAGCTAACAGCGTGACGACGAGCGGTCAAAACCGAAGAGGCAATGAATACGGTGAGTAGGAAAGCATCAGCGCATTGCTTGATAAGTATATTGGTCCCGATTCCATTTACCAGGCCAGTAATGCGAGTGATATGGTACGTGTGACTGATCACAGCAGTCTAACAAATAGGCAAAGAGCCAACAGAAAACCATGGAGATCAGTGGATAAGGAACAATCAGCGCGTCATAATCATCGTGGCATGGTAGTTGAAGGTGAGCAACACACTTCAGCTAATATGCTGCAGGAAGGATGGAACATTTTGACGAAAAGTAGAACAAAACATTTTTAGTTAGTTTTTCACACGCCGATTTTTCTCTTTTTTGTCATATTCATGGGTTTGTAGTATTAAACATGTGAATCAATACAATACTGTACACAATTCTTCTACTGTTTCCGGTCGCGGGCCATGTCTTCAAGAGTGTTAAGCCAATGGCACTCCTCATCTTTGGGTCCCCATCCTGGAAGACGTACGGGTCCGACGGCGGCTAGACACGATATCAGCGATTTCATGTACTGACGCTATGTAGAAGGCTGACCACCACGCGGTCGCATCCAGTCAGGTCCTTGACGAGAGAATAGAGCGCGACGCGTAGACGCTCAGGTGCCATACGTAGGACGTGACCGAGCCATCTCAACTGGAGCAACAAAACTAGTTTGTTGAAGGGAATACTCGCATTGCCCAAGATGCGATATCGAACGTCATTACTATTAACTCGATGTCGCCACCAAACACGAGCAATCCTCCTTAAGCAACCGTTATCGAACGCAGAAAGACGCATTTCTTCCACGCGAATCGGCCAAGACTCGCACCCATACAACAATACCGAGCGAACTGATGCGATGTAAACACGGCCCTTTAGCGAGAATAAGACGTCACGACGACGCCACAAGTGCCTCAGGTTGACAAATGTAATCGAGCTTTAGCGATACGAAGAGAAACTGCTTTGCCGATAGTACCGTCAGCAAAAACACAGCTCCCAAGGTAGACGAAACTATCTACCTGTTCAATTTGTGCACCTTCGAGAGCGAGCACGGGAGCAGATGAAAGCCAATACTTGAGCAGTACTTTACACTTCGATGGGGCGAAACTCATGCTTCAACCGCCAAACGATCCAGAATGAGTTGTATACGCTGGCGACCGTCACCAAGTAAGGTGATACCATCAGCATAATCTAAGTCGGTCCCGCGATCACCCGGTAGAAGCTCTAGGCCAGAATGTTAGCAACCTTCTAGAGCATTCGACAGAACGTCTTCGATTGCGAAGTTGAAGAGGAATGGGGACATAGGGCAGACCTGTCGCACACCGCTATTGACAGCGAATTGCGAGGAAAGCTTGCCACAGACTCTCACTCTGACGGATGTATGAAGGTAAAGTGCTCGTAAGATGGC